CAACCCCAAAGCTTGGGCGCCCGTCGTTTCCGCGTGGTCCATCGATTTGATGGGGCAGTTAAGCAGCAAGTACGCGGGGCGGCACGGCGTGCCGCACGCCTCCAGCCTCAACGAGCTGCTGCAGCTCTGGATGTCCTGCAAAGCCACCCGCACCCTGATGGAGATCTACACCCAGTGCCTCTCCGCCATGATCGGGGGCTGCCCCGACGCCTGCGTGGACGCTCTGCTGGACACCTCGGTCCAACACTCGCCTCATTTCGACTGGGTGGTGGCTCACATCGGTTCCTCTTTCCCCAACACCATCATCAACCGCGTCCTCTCCTGCGGCCTGAAAGATTTTTGCGCCCACGGGGCGGCGCCGGGGGATTTGCTTTTCCCCGTCGCCGCCGATAAACGGGTTCCCAAAATCGCCTCGGTGGTGGGGATCCTGGGCCATTTGGCTTCTCGGCACTCGGGCAGCATCAAGCAGGAGCTGCTGCGGATGTTTCACGAGAGTTTGGGCCCCGCCAGGGACCAGCACCAAAAAGCCACCGTCCCTTTCCTGCTCCAGTTGGCCGTCATGTCCCCGCCGCTGCTGGGCACCATCTCCTCCGAGCTGGTGGATTCCCTCAAACCCAACGTCCTCAACCAGCTCCACCAGCACTTCGTTTCCCTCCCTCGCGAAGATCTGGAGAACATGGTCAGCATCGTCGTCCACCTCATTTGCCAAACCTCCGCCGGCGCTTACCGCATTTTGCAGTTTTTGGTCAATACGGCGATGCCGGCTTCCGTCATCACCCCCCCGGGGCTGACGCTCCACGACGGCGTGCGAGAAGCCTGCGACCGCGTCATCCAGCTCCTCCTCCTCAACCTCCAGAAACTGGTTTATAACCGGGGAACCCCCAGTTTGGCCGATTCCCCGCCTCGCCCCGTCCCTTTCCTCGACGCCCTCAAATCCCACGTCCGGGAGTTGTGCGTGGAAACCCTGCGCTTGGAACGCAAACGGTTTCTTTGGCAACACCAACTCTTGGGCCTCTTGGCCGTTTATTCCGCTCCGCACTGCGCCACCGACGCCCTCTTCTTCCTCCTGACGCTGGCCCGCACCCAGGAGGAGCTGGCCCTGGCCACCCAGCTCTACGCCGTCCTCAGCTCCTGCCTCGTCGACCTCCTCCCCGCCACCGTCAAGACCTGCGTTTGCCAAATCCACGCCGGCCGGTTGCCGGAGCCGCAAATGGCTCAGCTGTTCCGGAATTTGGCCTTGGTGGTGCAGTGGGAGGGGGGGGAGGGGGGCCCGGCGGCCATGGGGGTGCAGCTGGGCGCCGTCCTGGCCCGTCACCTCCACGATTTCAGCCAGCTCCTCCTTCACCGCAGCCCCGAGGTGGCGGAATCCGCTTGCCTGCTGCTGTCCGTCTGTCCCCTGCCGCGCTCCGTCCCTCCGGCTCACCTCCTGGCCGCCGTCCGCGCCGCCGTCCGTCAGTTCTTTACCGTTTTACGCCGTCAAAATCCCGCCAACCTCTCCTACAGCGGCCGCTTGCTCACCCGCCTC